CAGGAAGCAATGTCCACATCAGGCAAGTTGGCATTTAAGGTTTAATAAGGTCTAAGCACTAAGAGAAGAACATTTTATAATGAGAAAAGGCATAATTTATGAAAAAGATATAATATGACACAACTTATATGTATCAAATAACACAATAGCTGAATATAAAGCCTAACCTAAACTCGTTAGGTTTTATATATGTGACAGACATATACAAAATACAACAATAGAGGCCATTCTCTCTGATCATAATCTAAGAATATTATAAATTAATAATTCAAAGGTGATCTACTGGTGGCAAGGATTTAGAAAAATAGATTTTTAATAAATTGCTAATGAAAATATACATATAAATTTTATTTACATATTTTTATATATATGCAAATATATAAATATATATAAATATCTATATAAGTTTTTTGGAAAGCAACCCGACAACATCTATTTACATTTAAAATATGTCAACTCATTGACCAGAAATCTCACCCTAGAAACCCATCCACAGGAATAAAAGCAGTAGTATGGATGGGTACAAGTACATGGATTTTATTGTAGCATTTTTTTTGATAAGAATATAGAAATGAAGAAAAATGAATGTCATCAGTGGGAAACGGTCAAGTAAGTCATGCTACATTTGCAGTATAATATGCTATACAGCCATTCAACATAATAAATTAGAGCTATAGTTATTGATTCAAAGGAAATTCCATCAGACATTGTTGAGCGAAAAAGGGTATAGGCAGGTATATGTAATATATAGTCTCCTTTTTGTATAACGGTGAAAAATAGCTCTATCAATGTGTGTGTCCCTATGCTCACATATGTGTGTGCATGTATATATTTGGTTAAATGAGCATGGAGAAAATAGAATGGGTTATGGGGAGCAAGTGGACTAGAGAGGTGTTAGGGGAATGTGGATGGAAGATAAGAAGGGGGATCAAGGGAAAAATTCATTTTAAGTAAAATATAGTTAGGTGTGTATTTTATGACTCAGAGATGACCATGATTTCTTATTATGTGAGAAAAAACTTTGTGAACCAAAGTATAGGCATAATTCTGTTTCAGTTAAAAGTCACTGCTTCTCTGTGTCTGTGTGTTTGTCTATCTATTTGCCCTATATGTGCATTTGGGAGAGTGAAGAAAGTTGGTCAGGTTTATGGTTGAAAAGAGGAACGAATGGCTATAAAATCTTAACAAGGTCAAAGAGAAAATGGTAAATGATTAGCTGTGAGTCACAGTAGGGAAGGAAAACTCATGGAAGAGATTTTTGCGTCTGGGTGGCTTGGCAAAATAGTGAAAAGGAGTAGGAAATAAGGAGAAGGAGTCCTTTAAGAGGAACGAAGTTTGGTTTTATTTGCATGTCTAGCCCTGGGGTGTTAGGAGGACTTCTGGTGTCATGGGGTGTTAGGAGGACTTCTGGTGTCATGGTTGCTCTCCTGAATGGTGGTCGGGGAAGTATGAAAGAAAATCATGCAAGAACATCATGAATCGCTTATTTACTTATAGTTTGTTTTCTGTACACTTCATTTGACTATCTAGTGTGGACAAGTTTTGTAAGCTTATAAGCAAAAAGAGAAACAATAAAGGAAAAACACTCATACTCATGATTGTATAAGACTGAAAACCACATCTTACACACACACACACACACACACACACCTCTCAAAGAAATTAGAAGGCGAACTGCAAACAGAAAAATATTTTGAACCTGTGTGCCAGGGAAACAGTTAACTTCTTTGATATGGAAAGATAAAAAATGTTAAAGAAAATGTTAAATATTCCAACTGAAAAAAATTGGGGAAATGGCAACTTATGACATAAAAAGCATATGTGCTCAACAAACAAAAGTGTTCACATATTTAGAATTACAGGATTGCAAATTAAAATAACTATGAAATGTTATAATTTTGTCTACCAAGGAGGCCAAACTGAAAAATACAGTGACAGTCAGTTTTGGCAAGAATGTGGGTAAATTGGATACTCTCATAGATTGCTGACTGCAAATTGAATTTCGATAGTTCTTTGTGTGAATCTTAAGTGTTTGATTTAATATTCCTGATCTTAGATACTCATTTGTGACAATAAGCACAGATAAATACTAAGATTTTTTTGTGAAATTGTTCAATATGATGTAAATATCCAACCAAAGGGGGCTGGTTAAGTAAAAACAAATGATATACTATGGTGCAGTGATTAAAAATCAGACTTTGAGGAATATTTAATAATGAGACAATATAAGTGTAAAAAAGGATGAGAACTGCATATACACTATGATCATAATTTGATAAGAATTATATTATGTATATATGTATATAATATATAATTGTTACATAAGGTATATAATTAGATGAAGTGTACATTAATAATTATCTAATATATATGTATTTACTGTATACATTTTCATAAATAAGAAGGTAGGTTTTAGACCAGAGAACATTTTACATAGGAGCGAAGAAAATGTTAAGGACTTTTAGAAGACTATCTCTTTGGTTGGGACTTTATTACCTGGATATGCACAGCATTACTATGTTTTAAGATAAAGCAATATAAATTCCATTATGTCAGAGATTGTTCCTGGTAGGCAGGATTTCTAACATGGTTTCCCAAAGAAGTCCAAGCACTTATCCCCAGAAACTGTACACACCACGAGAGAGCTATTCTGGGTGCACCTAATCTAATCACATGAGCCTTTAAAGGATAGAACTTTCTCAGGCTGGTAAGCAGAAGAGAAGGCAGAAGGAAAAGTTGGAGAGATTCAAAGCATCAGGATGCATCCTGTGGTTGTTGGCTTGAAGGAGACCGCAAGGAAAGCGTGAGAAGGAAATGAATTCTGCCAACAACCAGCAAACCTGGAAGAGGATCACAGGACCCAGATGAGAACTGCAGCCCTGACTGATACATTGACTTGGGCCTGGTAAGACTTGAAGAAGAAGAACCAGCTGGGTCACGTTTGCCCAGACTTCTGACCTGCCAAATACTTAAATGAGTATTAAGTCGCTAAGTCGGTGGAAATGTGTTCCAGCAGCAATAAAAAATGAATATATTGCTCAATGTTTAAAAAGTATGTATAAGTAGAAAATGGGGTATGGTTCTTACATAAGATGTAAAAGAAGGATTAAGTGCATGGGCTTTGAGGTCAAATAGAACGGGGCCTAAATTTCAGATTTTTTACTGGTTAGCTGTCTAATTTGTGCAAGTTCTTTGATCTCTCCGAGTCCCAGTTTCCAAGTCTGTCAAATGAGGTAATGACAGCTCTTTTAACAGTTTGTTTTGTGTGAGTGTGTGTGTGTAGTAAACAATATAATACATACAAAGTTTGCTAAAACACTAAAAATTCATTCTATTATTATCTCATATTTGTTATTCCAGCCACCAGTTATGCACTGAGAATTTAAATTTTAAGTCTTTTAAAAGAATGGCATATTTAAACTGTAATTCCACTTCCTTCCCTTCTCTCTTTCTTATCTTGATTTTGACCATATCAACCTCACTATTGGTGAAATCTGTTTTAGACTCAAGGAAGCGCTTTTAACAGTCTACAGGACTCTCATCTCAATAGATTAAAGTGCCAGGCTTCTCACACAAGGGGTACCTGACCCATTGGACTCTCCCTGAAGAAGGACATTTGTTGGTATCTGCCTTCAGTTTGGCACTGTGGACTGGGAGCAGAGTCAGAAAATACAATGAAACTGTCGCTGCTCAAAATGCATGAGCCACATAGACCTTGACTGGGGAGAAGAGGGTGGCTGGGTCATCTCTAGGGAGAAAAAGTTTTCTAAAGCATGCAGACATGGAGACCATGTCCTAAAACTTTTACACTATGGAAATCTCATTTAAAAAAAAGTCCACAAGAGCAATTCCAAAGGGCTAGGGGATGATAATATTTAATCCGTGGAGGACGGACGGGGAGAAGAGGACAAGCAGCAAGACTTTGGCTGCTTATGGTATATGATACATGTATACTTAAAAAAAAAAAAAAAAGATGTTGGGTCAACCTTATGAGATTGATTAATTGATTAATTTATAATTTAAGAAACAGTACTGGAGTGTTGAGTGGCTTAGTCAGTTAAGAATCTGCCCTTGGCTGAGGTCATGATCCCAGGGTCCTGCTCAGTGGGGAGCTTGCTTCTCCCTCTCCCTCTGCCCTTCCCCTTGCTTGTGCTCTCTAGCTCTCTCTCACAAAACAAAGAAACAAACAAAACAAAAAACAAAACAAAACAAAACAGTATTGAAGGTACACTATTTCAGGCCCCGTGTTAGACAATGCAGAAGAAATAAGATGAGCAAGACATATTGTCTGTAAAGAGAGTTTTTTGTTTTTGCAGAGTTTTTGATCTAGAGCAGTGGTTCTCAACTGCGGATGTCTTGTCCCCCAGGGGACATTTGACAATGCCTGGAGACATTTTTGGTTGTCAAAAATGTGGAGAGGGGTGGAGAGGTGGAAGCTATTGCTGGCATCTAGTGGGTAGAGGCCATAAATGCTGCCAAACATTTTACAAAACACGGCAGCCCCCATAACGAAGAATCATCCAATCCAAAATATCAATAGTGCTGAGACTGATATAAAATAAACCATGTACGATATGGAAAAGATAGCTCAGGTGGAAAATACTGGGCACAGACAGAGAACAAAATCTTCTAGTCTCAAGGTATTGAAACATTGGTATGAGATGCAGAGGAGTTTCTTTGAAAACTCGATCCCAGAAAAATAGCTGATAGTGGAGAATCCTACCCAGATGTGGGTAGGAAAGCAGATCAGACACAGCTGCTCTTTGTAAATTGCCTCCATGTGGCGTGGCCATTGGTAGAGTTCTACTTGAAGTTCATGCATTGACTGAATTAAAACTGTGGAGGATAGAACACCTTAAAGTCTCCTTCTTACAATTCTTTATTTTACCCCCATTTGTCAGGTTTTATATAAACTCTTAGATTACAGTAGTATAAGCTTACATATCCTCTGAAGTGAAAATCTGTAATATATTTTTTCCACCTTTTGTTTTTAACTCTAGGAAGCATTTCTAATAAAATTGGTCCCTGCCCTATGGACTGTGATCTCAATCTTTTAAAAGAAGACCATGAATTACACAAGAAGGTAAGATGAAAGCTGTAGACGTTGGCTTTGGAAAGACCATGAAAACAGTAGCCCCTGATTATTAACTATGATTTCTTAAAATATATTTTACAGGTAGAAAGTAATTTGGTCTTCAAAGCAGGTTTTGAAGTGTGGGACATGCTAAAGCAGCTGACGTTTGTGAAATCAGTAATGCCAATAAATTTTTATTACATCCGAATCAGACTTCTTTAAGCTGTTGAAGACTTTAGTTAAATTAATCAGTCTACAAGACTCTTTCCAGCTTGGGCAGGGTGATTAGAAAATGTGCTGATTGCACTGTGTTGTATTTGGCATGATCACGGCTGCCATGAAGTCTGTCCAGAAACTGTCTTGATAAATTTATATAAATTACATATCCTGGCTTTTCAAATGTTGGCTAAGTTAATTTTACCAGCATTGCTGGACCCAGTTTTTAGATATTCAGCCATTTTCAAAATCCACATCTACGTAGAGCAAGTGACTTTGGGTTTTAAGTATTCAGAAAATTTGGCCTAGCTAGAAAGTTGAAGTGAAAGGATTGTCCTCCAATCCCTGCTTTTTCCCATACAAATTACCTGAATCATTAATTTTCCACTTTCCTGACTAAATAAGTATGGGTATATAGAACTTTTTTTTAAGATTTTTTTTTTTAATTTATTTGAGAGAGAGAGAGCAATAGCACAAGAAGGGGTGGGGGAGGGCAGAGAGAGAAGCAGACTTCTTGCTGAGCAGGGAGCCTAACATGGGGCTCGATCTCAGGACCCTGGGACCATGACCTAAGCCAAAGGCAGACACTTAACTGACTGAGCCACCCAGGCACCCCTAGAACCAACATTTTGCCTTACACTCAAGACAGACTTTAAAGTCAGTCTTGTTTTCATCTCTACATAGTGGGCCACCATCTAATCAAATAAATGACTAAGTTTTTAATGTCTAGATGACCACTACAGCATTCAAAATTGCTATGTTTCTATCACAGTTCATATTAAAAAAGGAAACTTAGGAGTCAAAAGTTTAGTGAAATTTGTAACGATGACATTTGAACTCAGTATTTACTGAGTGCTTGGATATGACTAGGTTCCAGGAAATGTTCTCAGTCCTCTGCATCAAATAACTCATCTTGTTCTCACAGCCAACTAATGGGACAGATACTACCATTATCATCATTTTCCCTATTTTACAGGAGACACAAATAAGGCATGGGAGATGGAATGAGTAGCCAAGATAACGTTGCTAATAAGTGCATAGCTGGGCTTTGAATCCAGACTGTTTCTGGACTCCACATTTGTATTCATCGTGAAATAATACTTGAAAATAGTTGTGAATTATTTTCTCCTTTTAGCTAGGTATACATCGTGTCCTACTTCTTGGGTCGTATACGTTAATTTAAGGGCTAGGATAAGGAAACAAAGAACAACTTGCTAGGAAGGGAAAGGGAAAAAGCTCATGTCCTTTTACATATTACGTATTAAGTACTATTATGTATTATTTTTAAAAAGATGTATTTATTTATTTATTTATTTTAGAGAGAGGGAGAGAGCATGAGCAGGGGGAGGGGCAGAGGAAGAGGGAGAGAATCCTCAAGCAGATTCCCACTGAACACGGATCCCAAGGTGGGGCTCGATCTCACGACCCTGAGATCATGACCTGAGCCGAAATTAAGAGTCAGAGGTTTAACTGACTGGGCCACCCAGGCACCCAATGTATTACATACTTTTATGTATTAATTTGTGACACTGAAGAAAGGGTATACAGATGAGACTCCCAGGATATTGTGGATCTAATATTAGTCTTCTAAGTACTTTTGTGAATTTTCATACTAATTGTTGAATTTAAACTTTGGAATTAGAAAAAAGGCTTAAACATGTAAGGTGAGAAAGAATACAATCATCCAGAAGAGCTAAAATTCTTCCCTATATTTTCTGGGTTTACATGTTCAATTAAGGAATTCTTTTTCACTTTTTTTTTTTTAAGATTTTTATTTATTTATTTGACAGAGAGAGAGAGAGACAGTGACAGAAGGAACACAAGCAGGGGGAGTGGGAGAGGGAGAAGCAGACTTCCCACTGAGCAAGGAGGCCAATGTGGGGCTAGATCCCAGGACCCTGGGATCATGACCTGAGCTGAAGGCAGATGCCTAAGGACTAAGCCACCCAGGCGCCCCTCTTTTTCACTTTATCTTTAATATTATATTTCAAAAATTGTGAGTCAGTTGCTTGGGATATTATGCTCTTCCCTGGGGGTTGGCCACTTTGAAAAGGTGTCTTAACTGAATAGCTTCAGGAAGAAACTTGTTCTTATCAGGAATGTGTCTCAGTTAAGTCAGTGGTGTGAAAGGAGAGCCAGGCACACACCCATCACCCAGAATCAAGTGACTGAATGCTGTGGACCAGAGCGGTCATACCACCTACTATACCTCAGTCTAAGACTCTTGACTCCAACTTAAGAGTTTTCCTTTTTCCCTCATCTTGGCATGCTTACTGGAGATTAATTTGGATATTCCATTGATATGAAAGAGCTAACCTAGGCAATTTCCAGGGTGGTTGTGGGCAAATGAGGTTAACGTTCAACTTCACAAGGCATGCATCAGTTTTCCAAATAACACATGACCAGAGAACAGTCGAAATTTGTGGTTCCAAGAGGCCAGAAATACTAGCTCTCCTCCAGAGGGCAGAAAGAGAAGCCTGGAGGGGGGGAGGGGTTGGTTACTCAATTTAGAGGTCTCTCTAGGTAAATTCTAGGCAGCCAGGGATACCTTATCTCTCCCTGGGCATTGCTAATGGAAAGCCTATCTTGACAAATTCTCTGGTACACATATCATATATGAATTCAAGAAAGAGGAAAGAGTATTCTTGCCAGATGGCCTCAGGATTTAGGCTGGTTGAATTTGGAGCTATGATTTTTTTTTTTTTTTGGATGCTAATAACAGCATGGATGAGATTGAACATGATGTCATGTTTGTTTGCTTTGATATTTCAGATGCACCTGTGTTTGTTGGTGTTATCTCTGACTTACAGTTCTGTGATCTTACGAACACAACAAGCCTCTTAGCAGAGTGCCTCCACCCCAAACCTTCCTCCACTGCCTTTTTTAAAAAATGGTGTACCTCGTGGGGCAGGCATTAAAGCGTCCACCACTGCTCCCTTCTGATCTTCCTAGGGGAGTTCAAACACATTTGTAATCCTCAGGATTCAGCCTTTTATTCACTATTTCCTTTTTCTAAGGCTCTCTCTTTTGATGAAACAATCCCCTTGCTCTTCATCTGGCCAGATGGGCAGATGAACAGGGCTCCTCAGAGCCATGCACAAAGACCCTGTAAGGAGTTTGGGGAAAAATGCTGCCGCTAAGTGGAGCTTCGTTGTGCTAATGCTTTTCCAATGCACTGGTACCACTTGCCCGTGAACTTCAAGCTCCTTTCTCCACGCAAAGACTTAACCTTCTCATCCGTCCTGTCATAGACACCCCTCTCCACTAGCTGATTGGGCCATGAAAGGAGTTCTGGGGAAGGAGCAAAACCTCTGAACACAGAGATAGGGACCCTGGGCTTTGCTTCCTATCCTATAATGCAATTTAATGAGCTTATCATGTCACGAGTTAGACAACTTTGAGATTTAATATAAATCTTCCTGTAATATTTTCTACTTAACTGCTTCATCGTAATGCTGTAATAAAAGCAAAAGAAAGGATGTGAAGTGTTCCATTGATCGCCTGGGCTATGTAGTGCATTGTGCCAGATATTGCTTATATCCTTAATATTCTAAAGTATTTTAAGTGCTCTCCGCCCCATACCCTGAAGAATTTTATAGTTATTATCTCCACAGATTCTTGTCTCTACAAGAATCCTGTGATCTATGTAGCACAAATACTATCTCCATTTTTCAGGTTAAAAAGCTTAAGCTCATGAACTTTAAATAATCTAAGTTTCCAAAACAGTGAGAAGACTTGAATGTATGTCTTCTGACCATCACTTGTCGACCCGTTTCACTACAACACCATGCACTTTAATTTTTTAAAATTCTTTAGAACACTCTTGGCTGTCATTTTGTGTTGTGTTTGAGGGGAATGCTCATTCATTGCTTTCTAAACAATGTTGCATTTTTAAAAGATTTTATTTATTTATTTGTGAGAAAGAGAGAGAGAGAGAGAAAGCACGAGCTGGGGGGAGGGGCAGAGGGAGAGGGAGAAGCAGACTCCACACTGAGCAGGAGCCAGACGCAGGGCTTGATCGCAGAATCCTGAGATCATGACCCAAGCCAAAGGCAGACAGCTTACTGAGCCATCCAGGTGCCCCATAAACTCTGTTACATTTGAATGGCAATTCCCACAAACCAAACTTTTAGTTCTCAAACTTGAAAATCATATTCTTAATTTCAGCAATTTATATTTCAATATTTGCTGTTGATTTCTGTGATGGATTAGGGGATGAGTAGCCGTACACAAAATAAATGGAATGTGATGTTCCAGAACAGATTTTGCACCACCAATTCTTAAAGTATAGATATTCATACTTCTAAAGACATTGCTTTTGGAATAATTTCTTTTTAGTGATGATGTTCTTTGGCTTCAGGGTACAGACAGGATCTATTTTCTCTTTCTAATGTTGATGATATCCTAGTTAAAGCATTATTTCTCAGGAATAGATTCAAGATACAAATCTGTGATTGGCAGCTTATTTCAATTCCTCTCTGTGAGTAGGCTCCCACACTCTGGTTCTTACTTGGGAACATCCCTGCCCATACTTACCTCCTTTTTGGATTTAAACCTCTTATTTCTTTGTGTTTTTCTTCCTTTTGGGGCTCATTCCTTTGGACATAAACTAATTTCCATGACTTTCCGTCTTCTAAAACACCTATTTGAAGAGATTTTTATCACATTAACTTACATATTCTTCAAAGGAAACTCAAAGGTTCAAAAAATATTTGTTATTTGTAGAATTCATGGTGTTTTTCTTTGTGATTTAGGAACTGGAGGTAAAGCTCATTGTTGTTATTATAACAGAA